CAACCACACACACACACACACACCACGCCCAACCACACACAATCACACAGTACATGAGTCAGTAGAGATTGAATGTCATGTGAAGAAAGTCAGAAGAGGCAACGTGGAGGTGAGACGTATCATTTGTCAGTGGTCCGACAGGGACATAAATAAGCTATTGAAGCACAGGGATTGTTTATGCCAATTAGTTGGGCCAGACAGTCAGTTCTGTGGTATCAGAGCCACAGTATGAAAGCAACTGGGGCGGAGTCAGTAGCGCAGTCCCTGCCCCATGGCAGTGATTGACAGCTCTGGGGTGGTGACAATGCAGCCTGCTGCTTGAAGTGTGTGTGTGTGTATGTATGTGAACAGGACATTTTGTAAGTTACAGAAGAAAATTAAGATGCTTTGAAAGTGTTTTAACCATTGGTGGTAAGAGGATGAGGTATCCTGTGGAAAGGTGCCTATATCGATAAATAGTGATTGATTTCATTACATGCTACTGGAACTCACTCTTATGGGGTTCCTATATTAACTGAATTGTTTTATATGTATATAGGGGTAACATTGTGAATGTTTTTTATACACTTCTTTTTACACAGGACTCTTTGTTACTTGCCTTATTGCAGACAGCTCAGCAGTTCACTTATGTACATATCATTTGTCAGCATTCACAATAATTACCAACCAAAATCATTCTTACTGGACTCTCCTTACGCAAAGCGAGGTTTATATTCAATTTTAATCATATGCATCATTGACCTTTTATAGTGGATAATTTCAAAAAGAGCATAGCTCTTTATTGTTTAAATCTTTATTGCTCAATTATTTTATTTCTTAATTCATTTGTCTGCTCTTCGCTGCTTTCAGAAGTTCATAAAATTTTATTTTCTGTTGCATCATCAAATGGTACATTACTATAATGATAAGAAAGATAAGAGAAAGAGATGCACAGTTTTGAATGCATTTACCCGTGTAATGATATTCACAATTTCAACTTTTTACAAACTGTTTTATTAATGTGACCTTTTAAAAGATCAGATCCACACGTAAATTATGTTTTGTAGAATGTTTTGCTCGTTTATCAAGCTCAGGTAATTAACTTGTTGTAAGCACTGCCCCAAATTGTTGCTTGCTTCGTCTGAACGGTGAGATAAAAATATTCATGCACTATGTTTAACTCTCACCATTCCAGTAATGCGGATAGTTTGTCTCCCTGCGTTGTTAACAGGGTTGCAGACTGTGGTTGATAAACATTCACTACCTCAGTTGGGCAAATAACTAATTGAAACATAAAGACAAACTTAACGCCCCCTGACAATCTTGTTTGTCTCTGACCTCCTAAAGTTTAATTTCTCACTTTGCTGCTGTGATGTAGGAGTGCACTTTAGAGTGTGTACATACACTGTGACATCATGGTTTGGTATGGTTACAGGCGCAAAAGAGCACCACAACTTTAAGTGAGGCTGCCTGTGAAAAGACTTGAAATACTAATATTAAATCTGGTGTTAAGTTACTCTTAAAGGAAAAAGCCCAGTCAGTAGCATTGAAGTTAAAATGCTGTGATTGCACATTAAACTGACCACTGTGTCATACAGACAGACACATACTGCTCTCCTCACCTGTCACTCATTTGCACTATGTTGTGACAGCGGTGCAGCCTTTGCTTAACTGAGTGTGTTAAACTACCAAGTGTTAACTGTTATTTAGCTGTGTACAAATATATTATGTGAGAAATGACACAAGATCAATTGTACGATCAAAGACCATGAGACTGGAAGGAAAGTCACTTTAAAATAATCTCTTTTTGTAAAAGCAAATCACATTTGATACCCTGATTGTTCATGGAATGGCATTCAATTAAACCCACATTTTTGAAAGCATTTGAGATCTGTTGTTATTGCACAACTTATTTCTGCAGTACATCTATGGTAATAAGTTATTTCCTCAGCCTTTAGCAACATGCTATGGCTGATTAATCCTGTTGGTAATATTAATAGGATTCTGCTCATGCTAGTGTTTGCTGTAGAGATGATGAAGATGGCCACATTATTATTCCAGCAGGATTAAAAGGCGTCCCAGTAAGCCGACAGAGGGTGAGCTTGCTAGACTAGCACCAATGTCTGCTTTTGGCTTACGCAACCGGTACCTCTCCAGGCTGGGCGCACAGGTATGCACACACACACGCACACATGCACACCACTTATGATTAGACACAATTCAAACAGAAATCCATTTATTAATTCATCCAGCCTCTGACACTGGCATACATTTTTTTGTTTTTTTATAAAAGAAGGCCAGGGGCGTTTGGTTTTTACTGCTACTCAGTATAATTAAACAAGTCTCTCTTCCACTTCAACTGCCTCTCACTTAATGTTTCTTTTCCACTCTGCTTTCAGCTCCCAGACCACTGCTCTACCCATCTGTCATCACTTGCCCACAGGAGTGTTCTGAAATGATGCCCTTCATTCAGCGGTCTGCTCCTCCAACACTAAAGCTCTGTGGCTCCAGACAAGTGTGCGCCAAAAAAAGAGGATGCTTACAAAGTGTCCCCTTTTTTGAACAAGATGCTGTAGCACTTATTTTTTTATGTTCACATGACTGTTATTCTGGGTATTCTGTTTTCTCACTTAAATTATTATCACCATAGAAATTATTTTTGTATTTTGTAACTATATCCAGTATCTTGTGTTGTTTTCTATGTACCCACCCTTGTGCCTTTTTATACAAACCACACTAAAATGTTTGGGGGTTTTTTCTAGGAGATTGTACATGATATAAAATTGGACTAATGTTTTATGGTGCTTTGATGCTGTTTTAGAGACTCAACCCTGTGCAAACGACAGAGGGCACCAAATCCCTCAAATGTTTCATGTCACCAAAGTATAATTTCTTTTTAATAACCGCCTTTAGCAGGCTCAGTATTTGTTGAGTGTTAGTTCTTTACTTTTGCTGATTATTCAAGTGTTATAAGTTGCAATAAGTTAGAATCCCTCATAGTGTACAAAAAGCCTCACAAGTAAGTGACCCCTGTGACCTGTTGAATGTTGCCAAATACATACTCTTATATTTAAAATAATAAAAGGAGCTATTAAACTGTTGGTACAGTCTTATTTCTGCGCATTGCATCGTGATAAAACTCTGATACATATACTCTCTAGCCTCCGGACCTGTTTGTACTGCCTACATCCACCACGCTGGGCTGCACTCTCTTCTTCCTCCTCCACAGCCAGGCCCGGAGATTCTGACGGTGCCGTTCAGAGCCCAGAAAGTAGAGGAGAGGATTTGCACAGCAGTTAAAACTGACCACGGGCTTCCAGATCTTGAAGGAGATCATGACCGTGTTCAGAAGACCGCAGTCTCCGGGCATGTACACCCTCACAAACAAGTAGACGGTCCGCGCAACGTGATAAGGCACAAAACACACCACAAACATGAGACACACCGCCAACAGGGTGTACAGGGACTTGTTGCGCATACGAGCCGTCCTTGCGGTGGAGATGCTGTCCGCGGCCCTGCAGTAAAGCACCTTTATCATGGAGCAGTAACAGGTGATAACGACGAGGAACGGGATCAGAAAACCCACAATGGCTAAAAACAGCCCATATGGGAAGTAAACTTTAAATTGCCCCGGGTTGGTCATTTCAAAGCATACAGTCATGTTGTTAATCACACCCGTGTGCGCAAAAAACAGTGTCGGCAAAATCTCAGCCGTGGCCAGGATCCAAACCGACCCTGACGCAAAGAGGGCGAGTTTTTTGGTCCTGAGGCGCACGGCAGCGATGGGGAAGCACACGCCGAGGAAGCGGTGCACGCTGACACAGGTGAGGAACATCATGCTGCAGTGGAGGTTGACAAAAAAGAAGAATCTGACGGATTTGCAGATGACGTTGCCGAAGGGCCACAGGCCTCCCATGGCATTGCTGATGATGAGAGGAGGCAAGGCCAGCACGTAGAGGAGATCCGCCACGGCGAGGTTGGTCAGGTAGATGACCGTGCTGCTCCAGCGGCGCGTCCGGCAGCACACGCTCCACAGCAGGGCGCCGTTTAAACTCAAGCCCAGCAGAAACACAAGGCTGTAGGACACTGGTAGAAGGATCCTTTGGTAGTAGTTAGTCACTGGGCAGATTTGGAAGTCCTCCATTCAAAAAAAATAAAAAAAACAAGATCAGCTCAGGTGGTCTGATAATTTAGAGGCCTGTCACTTAAACCTTAACCAACACATAAACCGGTTCTCCTTACACATCACCCTGTCTGCAGCTCACCTAAAACTAGGTAAGGATGACGTGTGACCTGTTTAAAAGGCACCAAGTACAGTTGTTTGTTCAACTTGTGCGTCCCTCCTGTCCCCAGCCCACACCTGTGTGATGCAAACCATTATAACGCCATATCTATTATATGAGCAAATAGATTGGCACACCGTGAGGCATTTCAAAAGCCTGGCATAATAGGCTGAGATACTGTAGTATGCGTGATTACCCTTCCCCCGAGAGAAGCGCTTGCAGAATAATTAATGCTGTGATTAAAGGCGATAGCCAAGTTAAGTGACACAGTCAACACACGGCGCTGTGGGCGCACTATAAAAACGCGCACACGCTCAGCAGCGTCCCATTGGCTGCGAGAAATTCTCCCAAGTCTGTTCTCTCTCGGGCTGCTCCCGACTCAAAGTGTTCACTTCATCTCTGTCTGACCACGGAGAGAGAAGGAGAGAGAGCTCGTCATGCTGAGGAACGGCACGTACAGGTTAGTGCAGAGATCCTGGTCATGCATGCACGGCAACAGTGTTAATTTAGGATGAATGAGAAGCTCCAGTACAGCCTGTACTTCGACGTGCACTGCTGAGTGATAAAATCCATGCATAACGGCACTCTCTGCAGCTGCACGGGGATGAGCACAGGCTGCTCACACACTGAGGGCTTATAGCATATTGCACATTTGAAGAGTTGTTTTGTGTGCGTCTTAACTTGAGCGGTGTCTTTCCAGAAGCATGTACCAGGGAGAGGAGGCGAGGCTGCGCAGCGGGAGTCTGGCTGTGGCTCGGGAGAGGAAACACCTTGCTCTGTGCATTAATAACCAGGTAAGAAGCATTCAGAGAAGAGAAGGCGGTGGATAGTCTGTATGTCCTTACTGTAAAGTGGGTTGTGTATGCCGGTATACATCAAGCCCTCTGGGAAAGTGTCTCCTCTGTTGGTGAGGGAACATTTTAGCAATGATGTAATTCACTTTCTGAGCTTTGTTAGCAGCAGTAAGCTGATGTTGCTCAGAAGGAAAGACCCTCCTAAGGGGAAAAAAGAAGCCTAAACATTATACAAACATTACATTTTTACAGAGAAGTATGATTCTCTGCAATATGACAACACAATGATTCCCCAGTGTCTCCAGGGGGAGAGAGAACAGAGAAGTGTCAGCACCATGGACAGTGAAACTTACTGTTTTCCCATTTGCAGAACTAAATCTCTCCCCCTCAATGTATAGGAACCACAACAGCTTTTAATTTTCGCTCCCTTATTCACCCATTGAAAATGCCACAGTTGGCTGAATTCAATATGGTTTGGGAAATTGCTTTTTTCATGTTGGCTTGAGGCCACTTAAAGATTTTTGTCATGGCAGCATCTGAAAAGGTCTCATTAACACTACACATCGTACCTCCCGCTATAAATGACTTCATTATCAGCAGGGAATAGTGAGGGCACAGCAGCTGAACTGCTCAGCTGACTGAGGTGGCAGGCTCATCCTCCAAGTGTGAAACCAGAGCTCATGCATGAGGATAATATATGCTTTTCATGCTCAGAGAGTTGGTTTGAGGAGAGCGGTTATCGCAATTGATTTCATGATGTAAATCTGTTTTGCAAGAATCACCTCTAACAAAAGTATACAATGTTTCCTGTGTGTGCTTTAGTGAGGGTAGGTGCACAAGTTCACCTGTTTGTATTGAGCTTCTGAATATTTAATGCCAGTGATGTAGTGTTGCGCATTATCGGCGGCTAGGGATATTGAGCTCTGAAAGCACTATTCCATCACAGCTTTTCGACTTACTCTGCAATATATTATGATGGTGCAACCGCCCAACACACGCTAACAAGCTCACTCATACCCTTATTCATTGCATGTTCCCCTATACTTTATAGTTTTGACTCCAGATTTGTTCTAATCTGTTTCCGTTGCACCACCTGACAGCCAAATTTCATTATCACTTTCCAAAGAAAGGACATTTCCAAATTGATCCAGCTTAACTCTGCGAGACACTGTGTCAGAGGAGGTTCATGTGAGACTGCCGAGGAGGACACGGAGAAGCTTGGTGAAGGACTAACCATTAATTGGCGTGTGAAATATGAGTGAGGATGGAAATGCAGGTTATTGGATATGGAGGCTGCTCCACTTGCTGTGTCTGTGTGAGTGATTCAGATTCATTGTTGAGGCGTGAACCCCCTGAGAAACACATTAATCTATCCAGCTATTACCCCATAATCAATGGGACAGCTGGATTTTACGGCCACAGGCCCGTGTTGTTAACCATTTTACACAGAGATTATTTAAACAGCATGCCAAGGGGGGGTCATGTTTAATAGGGTTAAGCATGAAATACACAGTACAGGTGACATTGTTGACACAGCACTTGCAGCTTGAATCTTGCAATCATTCATCAATATCATGCATGAAACCCCTCGTTGCTTCAATTCAGTGAACGTGCAGAAAAAATGGGCTAGTGTGCCACCTTTTTTTTTTTTTAATGAACTCGTGTTTCCAGCATAATCTACATGTGTCATTCCCACCCTGTATCATAGGATGGGGCAGCATCCATTCACCAACACAAACCGTGGGAGTCAGACACAAATGCAGCCGTGCTGTAATATATAGAGGGATGTACATATAGTGGGAGTGTGGTGCAAGGGAAGGGTGTTATATTTCAGAAGTGCATTATCGTCTCTTTCCCCCCAGCGGGACAGAGCTGTGCTGAGTGCTGTTTGCGCCAGCTCACTCAAACGCTCCACGATTGAGTCGTAATAACCTGGCGCATGGAGCGAGATGAGCCTGCACGCTGACAGATAGGTGACTCTTGGTTCGTCACGGTCACATGACGAAGAGATATATATCCTCTGTGTGTGTGTGTGTGTGTGTGCGTGTGCGTGCATGCCTTGGTTCAGTGCCAACAAATGAAATTCACTTTTTTAAGATTAAAAATGCACCATAGCTCTTCCAAAACATACACAAACATGCATGACTGGATGCACACATGCACACACACACGCAGACACTCCTGCCAATTGTGCAGTCATTTCCATCCCATCACATTACTATGTCTTGGACGGCTGGTTTGGTCTAAATGAGTGAGCTGAGTCTTTGATCAGTGAAAGAAGCCCCTTCACCGATGATAGCAGTGTGTGAGTGTGTGGACATGCACTCCCTCCCTTCCTTCACCAGAGCAGCTCCCTATTGGTTAATTGTAGTAGGGGGAATAGTCCCCAGTGCTCCATTTTGCATTTTGATAGACTGTATGGTCATTTCTCACTCTCACACCTCCTTCATCTCTGCTTGTCACTCACCACCCACCTCCACTTGGTATGCCTTCTCTTCTTCTCCTCCAGTTTGGAATAAACTTATGGCCTCATCTTCCTTCTTATTGATAGCCTCTTGCCTCCCTCATTGCGCATCCCAGATCCCCTCTTTAAATGCTCAACATTCTTCACTGCAGTACCACCACCTCAACACATGGAGATTCATATTATATTCAGTGTGCATTAGTGCTCAAGTGTTAATCAGTTCAGAAAATGTATCCGCAATGATTTTTGATAATGGTTTAATCATCATTTGCCAAGCAGAAATGCCAAGTATTAGCTTGTTCCAGCTTCTCAAGTGAGGATTTGATGCCTTTCTCTGCTTTTAAGTTTCAATGTAAATGGAATAATTTTAAGTTGTGTTGGACAAAAAAAAAACTTTAAAGACATCACCTTTATGCTCTGAGAATTTTTCAAGATATAACCATTAATGGGAAAAAAAGATCAAAAGATGAATTGCCCCTAGTGTATATGCTTTAAATGTGTCTTCTAGGAGAGACATTTCTTTTGAATCATACCTATAAAACCTGCGTATAGCTCTAAAAGAAATGGGTCTGTCTGTATTTGATGAACCGTTTACTTATAGATATGAAATTAACCTCACATCTGTATGTGTGCATGACGTAAGCCTCTTCGGTGTTCCTTATCTGTGCCTCCATAGGTCAGTTTACACCTCCTGCTCCAGCCTAGTATTGATGGCCATGTAACTGCAGCTGTCTGTGTGAATGTATAGATGTATAGGTCCATACATGCTGTTATCTGATCAGTATTAAACTGCTTTCTCACTGCAGTTCTTAATAGTCAATAAAAGTTTATTATTTTGCTTCATTGTCAAAGTGCGCCTCCAAACCTGAATATCTTTTTCTTTCTCTCTGCTGCTTTTGTTACCCTCCTCTTCACTGAAATAGGATTTAAAGGTTTGAGCAAAATATCATGAATGCATCCATTCCCCTCAGTATAAAGTACTTGATTTACCCCAGTAGCAATAACAGTAAGAGAAAATAGCATCTCAAATCCTGTAATCACATGAGCCCATCACACCTACGTCTCTCAGTGGGCTCTTTTTTCACTCAGAGACTCAGGCAAAAGAGTAAATGTTGACTTCCATATTACTCCTTGCACGCACTCTGCATGTAAATTGATTTCCGATGTTGCAAATAAACGAGCATCTTCACCGGTACAGCTCTTCTTCTGATTGGACGTTTCCCCAGGCTGATCGTCAAGTTGAGCTGTGGCTAAACAGCCAGTAGTCTGATGCAGATGTTTTAGAACATCACCATGCTGCAATCAAATCCTCTGAGATCAGACTCGGTGTGTGTGTGTGTGTGTATTTACACGTGACTGTGTGTGTGTATGTGTGCATGCAGGTGGGTAGTGCACTCGTGTGTGTTTGTGTGCTTGTATGTATGTGGGGGTTTATCTCACTGAGAGACCACACTAGTCTGAAGGGCACAAAGAGCTGACCACCTCTCACACACTCAAGGGAATAAGCTTTTGTCTTTATGTGTGTGTGTGTGTGTCTGTGTCTGTGTTTTAGTGTGGACATTCAGCTATGCCTGCCATCGATCTCTGTGATAGAACTAGGACT